ATTAAATTCCTGAATTAGAGTGCCCTCTATTGGAAGCAAAATGCAATAAAAGTTACATTTAAACAGCTAAAATACTCTCAAAATTCAAGCCATATCACTAATAAGTAAAATATATTTTATGAGAAATATAAATGTTTAAAAAATCCTATATCTTTTTATTTTTCTCTCTTCTAAAATACTTTTCAAATTGTCATAATGGCCAAGTTAGATATTTCATATCATCTGAAATTAAATTTTGACTGAATCAAAATGCTTGTTATATAGTCAGAAACATGAATCAAAGACAAACAAATACAGATGTAAGGTGTCACTGTATTTAACTGTTGTATTTGTCAACTTTCAATAAAGCATATAAAATGTTGATTAAAAAGACAAACAAATGTTTTCCACACTTAAAGTCCTGGTATAGAAATAATTGTTATAATTTATACCTTCTGTCAGATTATTGTTTGAATTTTCTTTTATGTTAATTTGTAAACCTCCCTAGTCTGAACTGAAAGTTTCTATATTCAATTTCACATTCTGAAACCCCAAATGTGGTGGCATTGTAGGGTAGCAAAAGTGGAGGTGTCAGATAATGCAGCAGGCATGAATACGATTAGTGCCTGTATAAAAGAGCTTGCTTCAATTATATGCTCTCAGTTATGTGAGAAAATAGTGTGAAGACATCTGCTTGCAAAACGGGAAGCAGGCCTTCACCAGAGACCAGCATTGCAGCATGCTGATCTTGCTCTTCACAGTATCCATAACTGTAAGAAATAAATGCTACACTTGAAGCTATTCAATAATGGTAATCTGTTTTAGAATTCCAAAGTAAGATATTTCCTAATTCAAGAGACTTTCAGAAGCTCTTGTGTTGGAAAACTGGAGAAATACATTGGCCACTATGAGTTCCATGCAATTTACTCTATCTCAAAGAATTCTATAATTTGGTAGCATTATTAAGACTATTTTTTGTTCCAGTAGTGAACAGGACTTGTATAATGTCTCTTAGCTTTTAGCTCAAGGCTGGCACTCTGCCACTTGAGTCACAAACTCCTGCCCAATCTAGCTTCAAACTGTGATCTTCCGATCTCAGTTCTCTGAGTAGCTAGGATTACAGGCAGGTAGGAGCCACCAGTGCCCAGCTGAGGTTCACTATGTGTGTGCATACGTGCACAGGTGCATGTGCACGCACGCGCATGTGCACACACACACACACAGTGGACCTTGAACTCAGGGTCTAGGCTCTGTCCCTGAGTTTTCTTGAGCCACAGCTCCACTTTCAGCTTTGTATGTGTATGTGTGTGTGTCTGTCTGTCTGTCTGTGTCTGTGTCTGTGTCTGTCTGTGTCTGCCTGTGTGATTAATTGGAGATGAGTCATACAGATGTTCCTGCCTAAACTGGCTTCAAACCTTGCTCCTCAGATCTCAGCATCCTTAATACCTAGGATTAAAGGCATGAGCCACCAGTATTCAGCTAAAACTCTCTTTTGACTCTCATTTTAGGCCCGAGGGAATTACTTCATTAAGATCCTGGCAGATATTTAGTTACCTAGATCAAAAGTGTACATAGGAAGCTTCTTAAGTGAGCAATGCTCAGAGCTATCTTAACTTTTTTTTTGAGGTAGAGTCTTACTGTGGCAGAACACTGTCCTCCATATATCCTCAGACTGGCCTCAAACTCACAATCCTTCGGCGTCAACCTCCCAAGTGCTAAGATTATACAAAATTACAACTATGTTTAGCTCTCAACGTGATTTTGACTTAGTTGGTGTGGTACTTGAGGTATC